TATTTTTTTTTTCTGGGAATAAATTCTCTCGCGTTGAAACTATACCAAAGGACACCCAAATTTCACATGCATGTTTTGGAATGAAATCAAGTCACAAAAGTAAAATCCTATGACATTTTCGAGGCCCTACCTTGCTCAGAAAAATGATGTTTCGCCGAAGCTCTCTCAGCTTGGCAATTTGTGCACCACAGAGATGAGGGTTACAGAGAGAGTGCAGAGAAGAGAGTTTCAGAGAGTGTCTAGGTGGTAGTTTGTGGCGTGAAGCTTGTTAGGACGGCAAGATGGTGGTTGTCAGTGTCTCTGTGTTTGCAGAGATATAAAGAGACAATGAGGGTTATGGGCGAACAGAATGGAGAGATTGAGGGAGCTTAGGGATTTTCCCCCCATTTCTTGGTTTCATGAAACTCACAAAGATGGTGAGGTTGTGACGGTGGTTTGGAGTTCGCCGGAATGGGAGGGCTGTGTGGTCTCCTGACAGGAAAAAAATTAAAACAAGCGTCTGACGTCAGCTGATGTTAAACTCACCTTAGGCGCTCGGGCCGGCACGAATCCATGGGCCTAGCGCTCGGGCTCCCTCGCCAGCCAACGCTGGACTTCCTTCCTCGGGCAACCAAGCCCTGTGCTGAAGCCTGTCCATCGAGCAATTGCTCCTGCTAGAGTTGCTCTGATGTGGACAGTCACATCATTTGAAAAATTTGCAAAACCTAAGGAAAGGAAGGAGAAAGACTCATCGTATACTACAATCATCATTTAATTAACTAGTTTTTCTTAATTATTAGTTTATTAAATAATGAACTAAATTTAAAAATCTAATTAATTCAAATGATGTGGCTGTCCACATCAAATGCCACCTAAGGTAGTACGAAAATGTGGTACAAAAATATGGTATGAATAACATTACTCCTAAATTTAACATGGATTGGTTTAATGGTTTGTGTGTTGGCAAATCCACCAAGCAAAAGGTCAATGAGGTTGAAAAAAAAAATTTAATAAAAAAAACTTGAAAATTTTGAGTTTTAACAGTAATGACAAAATAAATAGTACCATGATTGACTTTTTAGTGTAAAAATATGATTTTTCGTTAAAATGAATAATATCAAAAGCTTTTCTTTAAAGTTCTCTAAAAAATATAAAGAAAACAAGTTCTAAAAAGAAAGGGTGAGATCTGATCATCTCACCAACTTCTCAAAAAAGAAAAATATAAAATTGAACCATTTTTCTACAGTCATACCCTACCTGCATATGTTTCCAAATCTGAAATGTACGTTTCACTTTTTTATCTGCATTCTGCACTGCACTCCAAAATTCCAACTGGTCAAAAATCTACCGACCTGTCTAAATTTTCAACTTACATGGCCTCTCATCCACTACTTGTCTCCCTCCACCACTTTCTTCTCACCTTCTACACCCCATCCTTTGTACCTTTCATGCATCCGCTCCTTTGTCTTTATATATACCTACTGCAAATTACCATCTTCCTCCACTTCTCACTAGCTCCACTTTCAAACACACAAAAATGGGTGGATATTCCAAGATCAAAATCATGGGTACTAGTAGTAGTCGTCGCTCCCAAAACTCAAGATCCATAGACTTTTCTGATCTCCAATCATTTGACGAAACGCAGATATCTACCCCAGAAAACCCCACCTCCTCAAAAGTCCAAGAAAAAACCAATCTCGATCTGCAGCAGGAGAAGAAAAACAACACGACCCATGATTCTTCTGAGGAAGATGGTCAGATCAAAGGCAATGGTGGAGAGAGGTTCGGCACTCACGTGGTGCTGAAGAGGAATAGCTCAGTCTCTTCTTCTTCTGCTGCTGCTTCATCTGGTGGTTTAGGGTTAGGGTTTCAATCAGCAGTGAAAGGAGCAATCTCATCCATGAAAAGATCTTCTTCTGTGTCAGAGAGGTATTGCAGGATCCATGACCAGTCTGCAACTACAACTTTCATGACATCTTCCATTGATGGTGATGAGGAAGATGAAGATGAAGATCATCAAGCAACAAGATCTATCAAGAAAAAGCACAAGGGAGGCAAGATCCTTAAAGTATGTAAGCGCTTTTTTGGAATGTAGCCAGCTAGTTTGTAGATTTTATTGTTCCATGTGTAAAACTTATTTGTTTTTTGGTCAAAGAGTGAAATTTCATATAATATGCAGTTTTTACTACCTGTAGTAGCGGACAGATACACTCCCACTTGTGCAGTGAATTCTGTATCTTAATTTTTGGTTGAGCAATGAGAATTGAGATATATTCACAAATTATTGTCTAAGTTAGGGCTTATCTGGAAGTTCTTTTATAACGATTGAACACGTTTTTTGTGAAAATATTTGAAACTAATTTTTAGTAAAAACGTGAATTATGAAATAAAAAACAATTGCTTCTTATAAGAAGCACATAACTAGTACTTATTCCAGGGAGCACTTCAAATGTTTTTGAAATCCAAAATATTTTCTCTAAAAACACTTCATTTTAAAAGTACTTTCAAACAAACCTTGCTATCTTAACTCTCATGAACTTCATCCATTTACTTTCATTGTACCGTATATAAGTAGATCCAATGTACAATATGTTTCCATCGAAAAAGAACAACGCAATGTTGTTTCGAGCAACATCTGAGATGATGCTTCCAATTATTTACAATCTCATATTTGAAAGTCATTTTCACTGATCTTTTTTATTTCCTGCACATCTCCGTTTATTACTATTTTTATTGAATTAAAGAATCAAAAGAGAATAAGCGATTAAAAATAAGTAGAGGTGTGCAAAAGAAGTAACAAAATAGGTATATGAAAATCATTGCCCTCTCTTATTACATAACGAGTGAGGTGGCCTTTGAGGCTTTTGACTCAAACCCAAAATAATGAGAAATGTATAGCGAGGATGGAGAAAGCAAACGACCACTCAAAAGATTTACAATGAGGGTTGGTTGAGTTGGTAAGAATCGTCCTTTTTATTAGATCAAGATTTAAGTTTGAATCTCGCTGACAACAATCTCTCGTGGTGGGCAATTTGTAAAAACCAAAGAAAGAGCTAAGACCCTCTTTATAAGTTTTCAAAAAGACTTCGTGCTATATACACTGATCTTGAAATGGTGTTGCATACCCTCCCTTAAACTTTTTCACTACAAGAGATACAAAAATAATAATCATGTTATTAAATTCAATATTTTCTTCGATAAAATGAAAACATGCAAACAAAAAGTAAAAGACATAAAAACATGAATAATATCTGGTTGTATTGACGTTTATGAGATTCTAAAACTCTCACATTCATATTAAACAAAATAATACTGATAGTCAGTTTCCAAAAAAAGAAAACGAAAAAAATACTGATAGTCTGATGCATTCATTGCATGAGCATGAGGTAGGGATCACATTACTCAACACTCAACAGCCTTTTCAACCTTATGTGTTTGGAAAACATTATCAATGTCAACTTTAAGCGATGTTGCAATTTGCCAACTGAAAAATAAATCGTGTCAATTTGTGAATTCACTTAATATTTTGTTGCAACTGTGCTGTCAATAACTTGACTTTGTCTATTTTCTTGTTTAAAAAATTGTTCATAAAGTCGTACGTGATTCTTTAAACAAAAATGATATTCTTATTATATTTTTTTTATATCATATTTGTACCGCATTTTTAATAGAGATGAGACCCACATGTATTGATGGTTCTTACCTCTATTAGAGAGATGATACAAATGTAATATGAAAAATGTGACAAATGTAGCATTACTTTTCCTTAAACAAAAAGAGTATTTTAAAGTTGGAGATACAAGAGATAGTTGGAGCAATGATCCCTAAATTTTTGTTCAATTAGAGCTTTAGTCACTGAATTAAAAATTCTTGATTGTTGATTTTTTAACTTGTAATCGTATGGAGCAATGGTTATTTTGGCTAACTCTGTTTAAACTTAGATCCATTTTTATCCCTTTTGAACCCTTTATGTTGGACGTAAGTTCAAACGTAGTTAGCGAAAATGATCATTGCTCCACACTCTAACAAGTTCAAGGACCTATACTCACGAATTCTTAATTCAGAGACCAAAACTTCAATTGTCCTAAAATTCAAGAACCATTGCTCCAATTTCTCGTGATATAAATATGCACTATCGAAGAATCACGTATTAAGCACATACAATTCTTTGATTTAAAAAAATCAGCAGCAGTTCCTGTTGCTCACCAATCACAGATGGACATGTGTCTAAGTAATTAAAAAATTAATTACTTAAACATGTGTCAATCTGTGATTGGTGAGCACTGAGTAGCAGGAATTGCTGTTGATTTTTCAGCCAAGTTCTGTTAAAAAAGAAATGGATGAAGCTGGCACGTTATAATTTTTTATATTTTTTTGGTCAAGGTGAAAAGGTGATTCAAAATTTTGTTAGGTGGTAAATTGCAGTAGAGCACTCTACCTTTGAGTTAAAGTGACATTCATGTATTTCCAACGTGGAAATTGGAAATAGTAATATTTGCATCTTGCCTTGTTTGGACCTTCTCATCCTTTCAATCATTGATGTTATTACGTGTCTAATTGTTTTTCAATGTTTAAATGAAGGTTTAATTGTTGGGTTAATGAATGCAAGAATGAAAAAATCGATGATTGATTGATTGAATGATCAACAACTTCGGTCAAAATATATTAGGAATGTGTAATGATGGTATTGGACCATGTGGGGTACTTGAATTGCGTCATCCACGATATTCTCACAAAGAATAAGACTCTCAGGTACTTTGGTCACGTCCGACCCCACACTAGTCCCGCTAACTAAATGATGGCACGCGAGCTAAAATCTAAATAAATAAATAACCAGGTACAGCTAAAAATACGCAACACTCAGTGACATGAGCTTCATGCAAAATCTAACCATCGTAAAAATTCATTACATCCTTATATGCAAGATCTAGCCGGTAATTTTCCAAACCACTCAATGGTACGTGCAATCGAATAAAAAACACCTAGCTTATTAGGTTCTTCTATTGTGGAAAATAAAATCGTAGAAAAATCAAGTGGACGATGAAGATATATTGACATTTAATCTTCTGTACACTTCTATACAGTTAAACGCCTTTCAAAGTCACCAATGGAAGATCCCTCCCTTCCCCTTGTGTTTTATGATTCCAAACGCAACCTGCCTATCACATGGTACTAACTTGTGGTACTTTCAAATACACACAGATATGAAGAAAGTGCTCGGGGTTCAGCAAGTTGTTTGCCACCCAAGAGAACGGTATCTCCAATTTCGGTTCAATACCTTGGATACGGACCAGCTTGATTTCGGCATCATCATATTTGTTCCCAGACTCTGTTTGTTCACCTGATTTTTCTACTTCCTCTTCGGCCTTTGCATCTTCAGCGGAAACTTTTTGTTCATCCTCTTCAGCTACTGTCGGTGATTCTTCATTGATCAAGGATTTGTCAGGAAAATACTCTGGCAAAAGGCTCTTGACTGCATCATTTAGAGTGAAGCATCTACCTGTAGTGCAAAATAAACTCGGTCAAAACTAAAAAGATTATAAACCCTAAAATGATCTATCCGACATGCTCAGCGGTGCTAAATTAATCGATAAATTGACGAGGCTGCCAATACATTTACACCTTGAACTGATAGAATAAAGCATTCACTTATGTGAGACACGACAACGGTTCCTGTTGTTGGGATTCAAGAACCAGCTTTGGGTCAAGCATAAAACAAAAATAGAAAATGAGATCTGATGTTTGTCTGTCTGTTTAACATGCGCACATGCATTTCACTGTCCTCAGATCTCATACTCCTAAATCTAACAGACAACATCAATTTCACCAAAATAATAAGCCACATGACCGACATTCACTCTTTCGAATAAATAACTAATTCAATTGAAGAACTAAGCAACCAAAAATAGGAACTATGTAGCTGCAGTAGCCAGGAAGATTGTGGCAGAAAAGAAAATATATATATTTCCTCCCTGGAGTTTCTTAACTAGAAAATATAATCTTATACCAAAAAATATAAAAAATAAAAAATAAAAAATAAAATAAAAATAAAAGAAGGCATAAAACAAGAGGACCCTGCAATTCATGGCCATGCATCACATATAAAGTCCTTCAAATAATAAAAAAAAAAGCAGTATTACAAAACCGTCGAGAAATCCTTTCTTTCTCTGTTATTCCGATATTATTTTTAAATGCAACTATGAGACAGAGGCTCAGGGCTGAATTGGTAGAGTAAGACCTAGGAAGACTTGGAAAGAGACTTTAAGAAAAGACATGGAGTATTTGGAGCTAACGGAAGACTTGGCGCAAAACCAAGAGCAATGGCTTCCTAGGATTCATACAGTCGGCCCCCACTTAGTGGGGTAAGGCTTTCTTGTTGTTTTAATAATGGTGGAGGTAAAAGGCTTAAATGACAGATCATGATAGGTATAGCAATCAAACATCGGAAAACCCTGCCAGCTTACCCAAAAGTACAGATAGGAAAACTAAGAATATAAGATGTGGAAAGCAATTCCAAACCAGAAACGGTCATGGTGTACGGTGGAAGGAACTAGGGTCTATGTAACTTCAGTACAAATTTTAATGCATTCGACAAGAAAGTAAATGAAAGATGTTCTTTCTATCTACGCTGACCATGTTAACAGGCAGCCAAGTCTACTTTGTCTTGATTCTAAAAATACTTTCCATAAATTTACTGTAAAATGAAAAGGGAAATAAAGAAACTTGAATTTACTACATGCACATATTTCTGAGGAAGGTTTATGAGAAATACGAGCCGCCTCACCTCCTTCTCCTCCTTGTATTTCAACAGGCCGGTTAATGTAAGAGATTTTGTCCCAGCTATCAATCTGAGGTGCATCTTCAAAATCAACAAAATCCTCACTGACTCTCCAAACATATAAGCGAACTGGAACTCGACCTAAGAATTCAATCATTTGAAAATTAATTACAACAATAAATGTGTACCTATATAATTTCAATTCAATTTCAAATGTAGGAAGCTCTTTCAAGGATTTTTCTTTCAATTTTAACTAGGACTGTCAGACAAATTCAGGGTAAAGGGTTACAACCTCTATATCTACTTTAAGTCTATACTTGAATAACACTATGACATACACCCTTTTCGCAGTTCTTAATACGTACTGCAAGCTTGCAACCCCTTCTAGGCAACAACTAGGAGCTAGAATTGCTCCAAAACCCAGAACAATGTTTCAGTACTGTTCTCAGTCCCAGATAATCTACTAAACTTGGTCAGTGATGCAGGAGCATCTAGGAGGCCTTCAGGACCAAGTGGGCCTGCTAGCCAACATGGCTTTGGTTCTAGTTAGTTTTTTGTCATAGTTATTTCCTTGTATTTATCTATCTAGTTTGAAATTTATATTTTATTCAGTTTAGTAGATGATAGTTATGCTCTTAGTCTTTTTAAACAGTCAGGTGGCAGTTATGTGAGTTTTTTAGTATTTTGGAGGGCTAAGATTAAATAGTAATTTAATTAATTAAGGGCTAGCATGCTAGGTTGTAGTATAGTACAAATACTCTCTTGACAGGCTCTGTATGCAGTTTGTTTAGAAATTCCAGATTGTAGAGTTTCCCTTGGGTCTCATTACCCTGGAAAAAGTGAGCACACTAATCATGAAGACAAGCTAGAACATTAAATCTTCGCTCACCTGCCTTCACTTGTCCAGAAACATCAGTTTCACCCATATTTGGTCTGGATTTTGGAGCGCATAAATTCTTTGCTGCCCATTCTTCCCCAACTGTTCCAAGCTTAAGTTTGGAAGATACCCGGAAGTAGGATTCCAAATTACCTAACAAAATTTTTTGAGGAAGTTATTAAGCTAAGAAGGCTCATTCATAAATATTAGCAGAATATGATCTTAAGAACTATGTGCATATATGAAAGTCTGAATGCAAGCATCGATCCCAAAACCAATGGGTGCAGAGGTTTTCATCTCCAAAGTGTTGAGAATGAATCCTACATTGTTGGGAGGAGGGACCTTGCATGGGCTTATAATTAAATTGGGCTATTCCCCATATTGCCAATTGGTTTCATGATGGAACCTCAACTTCTTACATGGTATCAGAGCAGGTTGTCCCACATGTGAAGCCCAACGGCCACACGCGCTCTACATCACCCAGTTGTGTTATCCACATGTTAGACTTGAAATTTGCCACACATGGGGGTGCGTGTTGAGAATGAATCCCACATTGATGGGAGGAGGGACCTTGCATGGGCTTACAAGTAAATTGGGCTATTCCCCATATTGCCAATTGGTTTTATGGTGGAACCTCAACTTTCTTCACAATGTGGGATATTCTCAACAAAATGATAGTGATAAAGATTATCCCTATATAAAGTGTTTGATTATAGATAACATTTTTTACAAGATTTTATAGAAATTTTCTTATAGTTTCGCAAATATATGTAAATTTGAGTAATCACCTATACTTGTTCAACTTAACTAAAATATGAGTAAATTTGACAGAAGGAACCCAAAAAAATGTCACAAGTAACTCCTAAATCCTAACCATCAGTAACTAGCAGGTATACCATTTAAGACTGAACGCCAGAGCTCCACCTGATCTGGTTGAGACATGTTCATCACATTCTTACAGTTTCCATTGATTATATATGCAGCCTGCAGATGTAACAAATACCATTAGAAATGTTTTAAGGACATCTACATTGTCCTACAAGACTTTCCAATCAAAATTTGTCACTAGATCCCAAACTAAACAGTAAAACCAAATTGAGTCAAATATAATATATGGCAGGGAAATCAACAGTTTTATAAATAGACAATATGAAACTAACAAAACAATCCCTGACCTCTTTCAAAGAATTAATAAAGCTCCACTTTACAGTATCTTCATCATCACAAGGAATCAATACGTTCCCCGGATATCCTCTAAAATGCACCTGCACAAAGATCCAAAATTCACTTCTAATCTACAAATGTGAAACATAATAAGAAAAGGAGATGGAGCAAGACACTAATAAAAAGATCATCAGAAAATATTGTTCGTCGATACCCAGAAATTCACCACACCCACTCTATAGACTTGGATGCAAATAGCTAGCGAAATCAATGTACCCACATGGGAGCAAACCACAGGCATGACCACTCGACCAAAACCTTATTGGTAGATCATCCAAAAATATTCTTAACATTATTCAAGTTGTTGCGTACTTAGACATCAAAAAATGAATTCTAAAAATTCGTGTTCCATTGACACCCACCATTATATTGTTGTAAAAGTAAAACATTTTACATAGTCCAACCAAACTTATCCTTGACAAATAAATAATAGTTGGAAAGTATGTGAATCCTATAATCTCGTTTGGACCATTTTACCTGATAGTTTGTTTGCTAAACTAGTTTGTTTAAACTAAGTTATAACCCTAAGAACAATACTGAGCCAAAAAATCAGAGGATTACATATCACATAAATAACATCTTGCAAGTCTAGTTTAACTAATTGTGAGAACATGGGGGATAACTGTTGTGTCATGGTCGTAGTCTTACTGATTGCAGTAACAACAAGGTGTTGCACGATGGTAATAGTGCCAGTGCTTAGTGGTGGTGATGGTAAATACCAGTGGCAGAAACAGTGTAGCAATGGAGATGGCGGCAATGGGAAAATTGAAGCAGTGCAGTCGCAATGATGGTGGCAACATGTAGCAGTGTAGCACCAGTGATGGTGTTGATGTTGGCAGAAGAAGGTGATGGAAACGAACACTTTCTAGGTTTGCTATACAACTGGTTTGGTCCCAAATTCATTCAAACACATTCCCACTACATTATGAAATTTTAAAACTGGTCCCGCAAAACACATCTAGCCAATTTTTTAGATTTCCCAACAGCCACCAAAACAAGAGAATATTTGATAATTCTTATCTATCGATTTTTAATTGAGTTAAAAAAAATACATAAATGACTCCAAAATGGTCAGCCTTAATATATATTCTATTTCGGTACCAATGGCTCCATCATGTCCAAAATCATTTACAAAGAATAATTTCCAAAATAAATGTGTGCACGAATGTGATTTCTGATAGCCAGCCATCTCCTTTTTACATATATGAGAACCAAACATGAGTAGGATTTCTGTTCATAACCCTCTATTTTTGTTTTGCGACTAGTTGCCTCCTAAGTTTCTATCTAAATTTCCCGAGAAACTAATAACATACTCATCAATTTTAAACATAGCGATGATAGAAGATAAACCAATAAGAAAAAATATTTACCGTGAGATTCCAAGGTCTTTCTGGTTCCGCACATAGAAGATCAAACAGAACTCCTGTCGGTATATACCTGCAAGAACCTCTTGCAACGTTATGAAAACAAATAAAACTAACACGAATCTAACAACCTATGAAAGCATCCAGCGCTATTAATTCACTCTTTCCTCCCTCAGTCACTTCAAACACACAAACTTCTTGCACGAGAACCTTACACGGGCATGTGAGATCATATAAAGAACCAAAAGGGCATCAACAATTAGAGAAAAACCAAAAATCTAGTGCAAATTATACTGATAGTCACTAACATCAAAAATCAAATGGCAATCAATTATCAACAGTTTGTTTTCTAATTTCTATACGAAAACCGGCAATTTAAGCATTGTAGCAAAACCGAATTTTCAAGTATAGAAAAAGAGGAAATCGGTGCATACCATTTCAAAGGTAAGCCTTTGTACTCGAACCAAATGGTGTCTAAGCGAGGAGGAAGTGCAGAGCTGAAGTAAGGTTTTAGAAGTGAGGCCAACAATGGCAGGTACCCAATCCGAGGAGCTAAGATCTGTTACAGAAAGAGCAACAATCAGAGTAAATTAGGAGGGGAATCGGGGGCATAATCGGAAATTTGGAAGATATGTAGATATATAGATAGATATATATATATATATATATATATACATATACATGTGTGTGTACATAGAGGTTTAGTACCAGGGCAGGTGGCGGAGCAGGAAGAGTGGCGACGTCGGATTCATGGAGATGAATCTGCAGAGGAATTGCTCCGTCCCATACAAACCTCTGTGCTTCCATATCCATTCTTCTTTTCTTCCTTGGCAAAATTCTCTCTCCCTCTAACGGTGTCGTTTTGGTTCAGTGGAAACTGAGAGACTGAGTTCTGCTCTAGAGAGAATGAAAGAAGAAGAGGAGGAGGAGGAGGAAATAATTATAATCAAAACGGTGTAGTTTTGGTCGGATTATAGCCTCAATTGGCGCCGTGTGCAGTGCGCAATTGCAGAAGGCGGCAGCGCTTGGTTGAGGCGCAGAGGTCTTCGCGAGGAAGAAGACGATGTGAAACTATTTCTTTTCTTTATACCAGAACGACGCCGTATGTTGACCAATAAAAAAATGGAACGATGCCGTATTGTTTCGTGGGTTTATGCCCTTAAGTTGACACGCATACATCCCTTTTTTTCATTTTTTTTTATTGGTTCTACGCTAAACTTCATCTGTATAGTTAGGAGGAAGTTTCGAACTTAAGTGCAGAGAGACGAGCGCAATGCTTGAGTCTATATTAGCCAACGTGATTAAGCTTAAGTCTATATTAGCGTAACCATTTAATATATATATATATATTGTATTTAATTTAATCAAAATATATCGTCATATATATTGTATTTAATTTAATCAAAATATATCGTCATTAGAGTTCGACTAACTTTTTCTTCAAGCAGACTGTCATTTGTTAGCCCATAAAACACAAAAAGTAACTAGCAATAAGATCTAATAGATAAACAAATAAAACAGATGAGTGAGAAAATAAGACGGATGGATGGCCTAGCATAACAACATTCAAAAAGTCATAATTTTCGAGAAGAACCAATCCCTAATAAAACAGGCCACATACAAAATGTTTGTGGGTCGGTGGGTGAAAACAAATGTGTGTATGAAAATAAAGGTATGAACGCTTCCATTCCATATTAGTCATTCTTATTCTCGTACAAAAGAGAGATTTAGGGAAATCCGTAGAAACTCTCATTCAAGAGAAACCCAACAACAAGCATCTCTCTCTCTCTCCCGCTATTTTTGGGTTCTTCTTTTCATTGTTCAAAAAATATCACTCCCCAATTCAATCTTGTTCTTCCCCTCTTTTGTCTTTCAACTGCGCCTCCCCTCGTCTGTACAGAGTAAGCTCCAATTAAGCATATAGGAAAACTTTTTTAAAATAAAAATGATATAAATTTCTAAATTAATAAAAAAACCAAACAAACAAACAAATATAATTGTATTTTTTCGAAATCGGATTTTGATGTTTTGATTGATTGCCGTCGTTGCAGATTCCCGGGGGCTTTTCGTGACGGCGATTCAAGGTCGAGGGGAGGGGGTTGCAGTTGCAGTCTCGCTGAGTTGATTACTTACATTATAATTAATTTATATGATCAGTTCATAAAACAATACGTACATGACATAATTTGACATGAAAAATGGCGGGTGAAATTGGCGGTACTGGTGGCGGTAGTTGCGGTGGTGATAGTGACGCGCCGTCCTCCCCCAGAAACAGGGTCAAGTTCTTGTGCAGCCATGGTGGCAGAATCCTACCCAGGCCCGCCGACGGCCACCTCAAGTACGTCGGAGGGGATACTCGCGTCGTCGCATTGTCTCGCAGCATAACGTTCGCAGGTGCCCATTTTGTTAGTCTATTCCTTTTGAATTTCAGGGAGTATCGAACTTTCATCAATGAGATTGGAATTCGGAACCTCCTCTGCTTTAACAAATTTACGAATTTTTTAAGAACATTACATTATCTACGCGACAGAGTTGATGAAAAAGCTGAGTACATTGTCTGATGGGGAGATGGTGCTGAAATACCAGCTAGGCACGGAAGATCTCGACGCCTTGGTCTCCGTCAAAAGCGACGAGGATCTAAAGCACATGCTTGATGAATATGATCGACAAGAGAGCGAAGGGAGCCCGAAGCTGCGAACGTTCTTGTTCCTGTCCAAGCCAGTGGTGATCGAGGGTCCAACCCCGTCGTTGGAACACCAAATGCTGGAGCAGCGTTACATTGACGCCATCAATGGAATCATTCGATCACCACCGAAAATGCAGCCCCAATTGCAGCAACAGCAGCAGAATGCTCCGACTGCCCCGATGATCATCGCAAGTAGCCCCATGGGCAGCCTCAGCTTATCTTCGGCGTGTTCATCGCCCAAATCAGCATCCCCAGAACACCACGCGCTTGTGGGTGACATAAGCATGGGAGGTCACCGGTTCTCGCTTACGCCTCCAATGCATAAAGTGCACAGCTCGCCGAGTATTTGCAGTGCATACCAAGGCCATGCTCAAGGGCGTCACCATCACCCTAACTACCATCAGAACCACCACCACCATGCGTACCAGTCTTCGCTTGGTGCAAGAGCACACCACCTAGGGATTAGGACACCACCTCCGTCGTCGCCAGTCAGGTCTGAGTCCGGAAGCGCACGGGGCTCGTTGATGGGCCCTAATGTTTCTCCTGGGCATGCCCAAAATTCGATTCCTTACAACTACCCTACCGGTAGCAAAAACAATAGTCCTCGATCATCACTAAGACTAAGTGGCGGCAGCGGCGGCGGAGGATGAAGCAGCAAATGTGGACACTGACAATTGTCCGCCCTGAATGCTTGTAACACGAACATCAGCAGGGACGAGAGCCTCCCTCTAAGTCCCAGATAGTCTCTGTTGGTTTGTTACTATTGGTGTTGGTTTTTACTGCTGAATGCATATAAGGTGCCTGTTCTTTTTTCGTGCGAATGAAAGAAATATTGTAAAGATAAAACAGAAACCATCTATCAACAAGTATCAATTCTGGAACAAGTACAGACATATATAGGTTCAGTCAAGTTTGCTGCTCATCTGCATTTAATTCAATCGATGCTTAAACAATTTGCGAGGGATCTAATCGCCCTATTGTTTTGTTATCGTTCTTCTCGAGTCCCCTAATTAATTTCAACTAACTAGTCCTTTGCCATCCAAAGGACATTGTTTCTCATTCTCCATAAAACAAAAATGACACCTTAACCCCCGACACCACGATCCCATCCCAGTAAAATCATTCTTACATACACATTCAATCTGAACAAAATAAGCAAGAATGGCACTTAACTTCTGTCCAACGGTCCTCCTCACTTGCTGTCAGTGAAATCTGCATCAATAACATCTCCGTCAGGTCCCTTGCTGGATGATGATTCTGAAGGCCCACCAGCTTCAGCACCGGGTGGAGTTGGCCCTGCACCAGCGCCAGGAGTGCCAGGCTGGTTGTAAAGTGACTGGCCAAGCTGCATCACTTCCTGGTTAAGGGCAGCGATGGCATCTTTTATGGCTTGAGTTGAACCCCCTGAGACTGTCTCCTTGAGCTCTCCAAGTTTTGCCTCGACCTTTGCTTTAACTTCAGCTGGAACCTTGTCTCCCAGCTCTTTCAGTTGCTTCTCTGTCTGGTAGACAACAGAATCAGCCTGGTTCTTTGTGTCAATGGCGTCTCTCTTCTCCTTGTCCTCCTGTGCAAACCTCTCGGCTTCACTAACCATCCTTTCCACCTGTACATTTGCAGACATTTCTCTCAATATAATTCAAGACTTAAAAATACAAACAAGTAGTTCCAAATCTAATATCACAAATCTGACAAATTTACAATTTGCTGGTCAGCTAACCTCATCACTAGGTAAGGTACTGGCACCAGTAATGGTGATGTCTTGCTTCTTTCCTGTGCCCTTGTCCACAGCAGCGACAGATAGAATACCACTGGCATCAATGTCGAACTTGACTTCAATTTGAGGAACCCCTCGTGGAGCAGGAGGTATACCATCCAACCGGAAGCTCCCAAGAGACTTGTTATCTCTAACAAATTCTCTTTCCCCTTGAAGGACATTAATCTCGACACTTGTCTGCCCATCTGCAGCTGTTGAAAACACCTCCGACTTGGAGGTAGGTAGAGTAGTGTTTCTTGGGATGATCTTAGTCATGACACCACCAAGGGTCTCCAAACCCAATGACAGTGGTGTCACATCCAAAAGCACAATGTCACTGACATCTCCAGCTAATACACCAGCCTAGGATCAAGGAAAAAAAAAGGTATCACAGGTCAATACGACAATAACAACTGAAACTGTCCCATATAAAATAATAAACATAAATAATAAATAAAAATAAAAAAAAACCGTAACTTCACAAAAATTGTCGTAACAATGGACATAGCACACTAGAAAGAAATCATAGACACCCACCTGAACTGCAGCTCCTAGGGCAACAACTTCATCAGGATTAACTGTAACATTTGGTTCCTTCCCTGTCACCTTCCTTACAAGCTCCTGTACAGCTGGTATACGTGTTGAACCACCAACAAGTATCACCTCGTCTATATCTTTCCAGGCAAGCTTTGCATCCCTCAAGGAGTTTTCGACCGGTGTTCTAAGCCTAAAATATCAATAAAATGATAACGTTAATTTAGAATCAAATATTCCCTGGTTTCATAGAACCAAAAATTATACCACTAAATATAGAAACAAGAAAACATTCTACAACCCTAGACATCAAAGATGATATCTTGAAATTTGCAAGACGTTTGTAAGACAAAAAGCTAGAATCAAATATGCTTATATCCACAATCTCATAACAAGTTGAAACAAAAATTCACACCTGTCAAGCAGATCTGAGCACAACTCCTCAAACTTTGCCCTTGTAAGGGTTGTCTCAATGTGCTTCGGCCCATCAGCAGTCGCAGTAATGAAAGGCAGACTGGAACAAAACAATCATCAGCAATAGAGCATTGTTAGAAAACAGCCCAGATAGATGATCACGGAGAATAGTCAATGGCTGAAAAATGCTTCAGACTAATGAAGGTTCTCAGATATTGGCAACATACATACCTAATGTTAGCCTGAGTCAAAGATGACAACTCCATCTTGGCTTTCTCGGCTGTCTCTGTCAGCCGCTGAAGAGCCTGTTTATCCTTCAACAGGTCTATTCCTTCATTACTTTTGAAGTCTGCAGCAAGCCAGTCAACAATCCTCTGCAAAATAGCAACATTATCAGAACCGTCTCATTATTTAGGCCTCTAAACTTAGCCCAAAGGAAACACAGTTTTTTAATATAAAAGGATTCAAGTGAATGGTCATGGCATAATAAAAATTAAAAAGAAATAGAAAATCCTAACCTTATCGAAATCATCACCGCCCAAATGCGTATCTCCTGATGTAGATAGCACTTCAAACACACCATCACCAACCTCAAGTACTGTAATGGAAGGAGAGCAAGTTAGAAAAAGTTGATAAAATAGATCAAACAAAACACGCAAACCAACATCTGTATGGAGTATGGAAGTAATAGCTAGAGAACATATCCCAATAACAAACACTGTACCTGAGACATCAAAAGTACCACCTCCAAGGTCAAATACCAAGATAGTTTCACTGTTCTTCCTGTCAAAACCGTATGCTAAAGAAGCAGCAGTAGGTTCATTTATAATCCTAAGAACTTCCAACCCGGCAATGCGGCCAGCATCTTTTGTAGCAGTTCTTTGAGAATCATTGAAGTAAGCAGGCACAGTGACCACCGCTTTAGTAACTTTATCATTCAAAAACTTTGAAGCATCGTCCACAAGCTTCCTCAACACCTACACCAGCAATAAAAGGAGATAAAGAATAAGACAATCAAAGCACCACATCGGTTTTAAAAGTTAACCAAACTCTGTTAGCTGAATCACACAAATAGTGCACTTCGGAAAAGTAAAGATTTTTAAAGGAAACAGGAAATACCTTAATGTTTTAATGTTTCACAAATTCGAATTAGTAGACAATAACAAATCGTTTCCTTAACTGAAATTGGATGTTCATATCCGGTTATCTATTCCCGCAATTTTCTAAGCACTGAAGCACAGTTGAGTCTAATTCTACTCAAGAGCTTCCTTCAATGCAAGTTCTACAATCTCCACAAACCACCACCAAAACAAAATTACCATTAACCTTGTTCATTTCCCTTCATTTTCCCATCGCCCGAACAGAACCCGTAGATAAATTTCGCAACACCCATCACCAAAACCGCAAAACAACACCGTGCAAGTGTACGACCACCATTGACTTCCAACAAAATAACATCAAAAATCATACCTTTAAACAAATTAAAACATAATAACACCACAAATTACTCCACGAACTTCACCCTCATTCAAATTTGTAAACTTTCAACATCCCATTGCCAAAAACAAAAAAGATATAAAAAATAACCCAAAATGTCAGCAAAAAGTTATACCTGAGCTGAAATTTCTTCGGCAGCGAACTGCTTCCCGATAGCAGGGCAGTCAATCTTGACATTCCCATTCGCATCCCTTACAACCTTGTACGACACCTGCTTCGACTCCTCATCCACCTCAGACATAGTCCTTCCAATGAACCTCTTCACCGAGAAAAAGGTGTTCTCCGGATTCACGACGGCCTGTCGTTTGGCAATCTGACCCACAAGCCGGTCCCCGTTCTTCGTATACGCCACCACGGATGGCGTCGTTCTCTGACCCTCAGCGTTGGTGACTATGGTGGGCTTTCCGCCCTCCATAGCCCCAACGGCCGAGTTCGTCGTCCCCAAATCGATTCCCACGACTTTCTCATTGACTATCCGGAGCGGTCCGACCCTTCTGACGCCGTTGGGTCTAAGGCTCACAAACGCCTTCAACGGCGTCGTCCTGCCCAGTCCCTGGCCAAAAAACGCCGTCCTCGGGGTTGTGAAATTGGGCGCTGTGCTGAGGACATTGATTTGCGCGGAAGCCATTTCTGGGAGCTTTCAGGCCAAATTAGGGTTTTTTACTGTGTGTACAGAAACCCTAATCCTTCCGCTGCGGATTGGGAGAAGGAGAAGAGCGAAGAGAGAGACAGGCGAAGTGAAGTGAGGAGATAAGAGAAGTAGAAGAAGGGTTCTTTTCGCGGGAGAGAGAGAGAGAGAGAGAGTGAGGGTTAGGTGATGCCACGCGGATGGGTTCTGGAATGATCCATTGCCCGTGAGATTTTTGATTGGCGGGCAGGATTCCTGACCGTAGGATTGCTAGCTCGAGGACTGCCCGGTGGAAAAATCGAGGTAGTTTTGGTGCCATTTCGCCACCCACAATTTTGGAGGAGTAAAGTGGGCTCAACTTCAAGGTATGTGTGGCGCAATGCGCTAATCAGATTTGTTTGGACTCGTTTATTTACTTTCTTGAAAAAACACCCTTCAAAAGTTTTTTAAAAAGAGTTGGATTATGTCACCTCCTATTTTCGCTCAACTCCAGTGTCTTTCTTTCCCGGCCAAGGATCTGTTGTACCGAAAGAGAGAACCTCGCAAGAGATTCAGAGCATAAATTTTGAAGAATTTTAAGAGATCCAGTATCCAACTATTTTAAGAAAATTTTTGAAGAATTTGAAGAGATCAATGTAAGCCATCGATTTTGAGTGAATTTTCATACGAATTTTAAAGAAGTTTGTAAGACTTTTATCATGAATTTAAAAGATGAACTTTCGTGTATAGCAAATACGAGGTGCCAGAAGAGTTTTTTTTACAAGGTAAGCTAAACTCAAATATACTTACATAAGGAAACATGTGCATGTAATTCATTCCCAATACACCAAGATGTGGATTAGTCCAACTTATTAGGGTTTCCGTCCCTAAAAGTTCAAATTCCATAATATATATCGGAAATAAACTACAGCCTACACTTTTCCGGCGAGCATAAATGCCTTGGTAGTAACTTTTCTGACCAAGTTAGGGCCACCCCAAACTCTTTGAAGCTCTTCAATCACCTCTTGTGATAACAAATCCACACCTTGATCTTTAGCTGCATTGACTCCAGAGTAGGACCTTAACATCCTCACCACCCCTTCAAATGACGTCTCCTTCGGCATTTCCAGTGGCGCAGGCTGACCTTCAGAACCCAAACCAACACTCTCAAATGGAAATGGAAGTGTCCTATACCCTTCCCACAAGTAGTCCATCTTCGGGTCCCAAAACGGTTTACATGCTTCGCGAAAACGCTTCAATACATCGTCAAGATCGGGGTCTGTTACGCTATCCTTGTAGCCCCAAACTGCAATCACGCCTCCTGGCTTACGCAAAACGCGCTTGACGACCGAGTAGAACTTTGGGAGGTCGAACCAATGCACGGCCTCTGCCGCGGTCACCAAATCAACTGAGTTTTCTCCCCCTATTAACTCAACCAAATCGTCGTCAGACATGGTCATCGGAGTGTGAACGTAACGAACTCGAGGATGTTGGAGTGCAAGCTTCAGTTGGGACTCACTCATATCAGTCCCTATTACTTGCTCATAATGCTCTCCAAGCTGCAGAAAGGAAAAATACATAGTAAAAAATTTAATACTCTTATTTTCCACAGTACACCGTTGTATGTGATTCATCGGTGTTTGAACTGAGACTGTCAAAATCTAGTCATCTAATACACTGGTGCATCATGGAAGTTTCGAAAATTAAGAGAAAGTGCTCACAGAGAAAGCAGCTTGGCCATTGCCAGTGCCGACATCCCAAGCTAAAGAGTGATTTGGTGTGAGAGCGGCCAGCATGGAAAACCATTCCTTGGGATAAGTTGGCCTTCCTGCCAAGTAAACATCTGCGTGCTTGCCGAATATACCTTCCATTTTTTTTCACTTCTGTAATTTACGGCCCGATACGCCGGATACGTATGTGAACGTATCCGTTGACCAGTATACGTCGTCGATACGCTTACTATATGCGAATCCGACTGTCTGGATACGTTTTCAGAGGACAAGCAGACTCTGGTGGGAGAGAGCTTCACCGTCGACCGTCGGCTGCAACTGTGTTGGTTGCGTTGTCTGCAACTGCAAGTGTGCTGGCTACTGGTGCTGGGTAACTGGTTACGATTTGAACAGTAGAACAGGTAAGGAGAAGAAGCAATAGTATTTTGGGTACAGGACCTGTCGGCTGACCGTGCTGGGTTCCAATTTGAACAACGGAACTGGTAAGGAGAAGAAGCAATTGTATTTTGGGTGGAATCTGGTCAGCGAAGAACGGAGTACAGCTTTTGCTTTTGGATGGGATATGTTGAAACAGTCTCCTTTTTTTTTCTTTTTTTTTTCTTTTTTTCTTGAAAAGGAGGCTAGTTGGTAGCTTAGTTAGTGACTTAGTTACGGCAATCCATTTTTTCAGAATTTGAGAAGACTTACATAAGCATTTCAGCATTCTCTAGCCACTAACGTGTCATAGCATCAAGATCAAACTCAGAACGAATCATGTGAAATATGAGCCTAAAATTCGTCATCTTGTGGTGAGCCAGTCTTTTTTCCTTTTCTTTTTTTTCTATTTTTTTGCTTTTCTCTCACTTAATTTGTTAGTATAATATAAATTATAATAGAATTATTTTGGTTCCGGTCTTTAATCAACTTAATTGTTAGATTGAAATATTGTTTGTTTAAATATTATGATCAATGTCCTTAGCATCATTTAAGAGATTTAACTCATGCATTTATGCATTTAACGTCCCACAAATTATGAAATCTAAACAAATTCAAATAATTTTTTTAAAATATAATAATAGTTAAAAATTAATTTTAGAGTAATATTGTTGACACACCCCGACCGAAATCATGGCGTGCTAGCCGTTACGTGAGGGTGAAGTAGTCAAGTGCACAATGCGGAAACAATATTAATATAAGAAATGTGAATAAATAAAAACCAAACTAACTAGAGCACTAGATAAGAATAAGTGCAAAACGAAACTAAGTGTGAATTCACAACCAAAGTATAAGTAGGCTAAGTGCAGTCCAACCGGACGAATACTAATTATACAACACCCAAAGATAATCCTACAATGGTGATAATCTGTCAGAGCTGACGTGGATTCCTCGCAAGCCACCAATAAGCACTCCTAACTAGAACCTGGAGGGTCGCAAAACAAAAAGTGTGAGTGGGCAAAAACAAAGTTTTTCAAAACCATTTCAATTATCAAAGATAGTAACCCCTCGTCGTAAAACCTGTATAATTTCCCAGAAAATAGAATACATATCTATATCACAACCATGCTCAGAATAGCAAAATCCACATATATGCCACGTCGAATATCTTAGCATAAAAATATGTAAGCCAAGTGATACAAATCAATGCAAAATGATATGTTAGCCGAAGTCACCTAACATGACATGTACGCCTGAATCTAGAGCTCATCCATATAGCTGGAGTCACCTAACATGACCTATACGACTCAAATCCACATCTCAACAAATATACCTGCACACGAGTCGAAACCACCTAAAGTGGTCTGTACGACAAGACTAGGTGTAAATAAATACGCTCAAGTGCTACGATCACATGAAGACTGTGTGAATAATTACGGGTCACCTACGAGTCGAAACCACCTATAGTGGTCTGTATAACAGGATTGTGCACCTAACTTGGATCCAAGGTGAGCGTATGGTGCAGGAGGCGAACATCACGTGAAGGACTGTGCCCTAACCACGAGCGGGAGCACTAACACCAAGGTGCAAGTTTTTGAGCTCTCAACACATCTCACGTAATCATCAATTTACGTAAACAATCTACAACTCACCTGGTACTTACCTGAGCGTCCACAACATCAAATCACATTTATGCATACCATATTAATTCAATGATGATCAATGTATAAATCAATATGCATGCCATTTCTAAACATAATTTCATTTAAATCGATTTTTTGGGAAAAATCTCAAGTATATAGGTATATACGGAAAACCAAAAGCCCACTCACTGGTATGTGGAAGGGTCGTAGCCCCAAGCCTCAATTGACTATGCTCGTCCTAAGGATATGTCTCACTTATATGCGAAACACCTATATAAACGTTAATTTAAAGCACATAAACGAAACTAAAGCACATAAACGAAACTAACTAATAACGTCTCATAAATTGCTCAAATGAGGTGTTTGAATACACCAACGTGGTCTACTCAACACCACGAATATCCCCATATTTTTAGAAAAAAATTCCGACCACCCACACGCCTTCACGCTTCGGCCAAGGCATGGCCACACGTGCAAACACGTGCCTGGCACACGTACGGAAACCCTAACGGCATTAGGGTATATTCCGTCCAAAAATGGAATATACCGTTAAATATACCTGACGCTGTTAGTATATTCCGTCAAAGTTGACAGAATATTCTTCATATTCTCTAGTGATCCTCGCCAAAGTCGCTGCCGGCCGCCGTCTGAGTTGCCGGAAACTGGAAAAACTTATAATCGTCATATCTTCTTCATTTTTCAACCAAACTTCACGAAATTTAAACCAAAATGAAGCTTAGGATGAGAGGAACAAAACCTTACCACTTTTAGGTCCTAAAACTCACGGGATCTCACCAGAAAATCACGATAATCCGGCCACCTCTGCAACTTATCAAACCCGAGCTTCCTAACATCCAAAACCTTCCAAAATTCTTCCCTAAGCTTCGAGAAGAAGTTCTAAGGCTCTCTAAGTCTTCCAAACTCGACAAAACCTATTCGATCACGATGGATAAACAGTGGACCTCATCGGGGTTTTCTGGTTCTCAAGTAAATGAAGTCTTCACATCCAACTAACTATATGGATGAGCTCTTGGGCTCACAAGGAACATAAAAACAACCTCATCGACGTCAATCTGTGCATGCAAGGGTTAGTTTGAGAGTTGTCCGTACAGTTGTACGGAAATGGAAGAAAAATCCGAGAGGGAAAGAGAGAAAGAGGGTCAACAGGTTGATGTGCGTGTATGAGTGTGTGGTCCAGGCTGCAGCCAACCAAAAACAAAGAAAATCTAAGTTCTAATTGGGTCCAAACCATTAGGACTTAACATATTTGGTCCACATCCAAAGATTAAACTATACAACACCACACAACGTTCAAGAGCAAAATCATCATTCCATGCTAGCAAAGATAAAATAGATTATATTTCAGGACGGGTTGTCACAATTGTTCTTCACAAAAAGTATAGCAAAAAAAAAAAAATAATAATAATAATGTACCCACATAATAATTAACATATTTTTTAAAAATAACTATTGATATATTCTAAAATATAAAATAAATACATATAATTAGCATGGGTACATTTAGCAAAAATAAAAATAGTTACAAATAAATTAAAAAATATGGGTACAAATACAAATAAGTTTAAAAAATATGGGCATAAAAAGGAATTAATATATGGGTACAGATTAAAAAAGAAAATGGGTACAAATTAAAAAATGGTTGCAAATTAAAAATGGGTACAAACTAAAAATAAAAATATATGATAAAAAAAATTAGCCATAAATATGAATATATCAAGTGTAACGTTTCTAACACTAAATGAATATATTTAGAAATTAAAAATATTTTATTATTGAAATAATTAATGATGTTTATTAAAATCTAAGAACCTTGATCAAAAATTGAAAATGAATAAAGTTTTAATCAATAGATGAGGAAAAATATGGATGGGAACCTAATTTTTCTATATATTATATGTGGTTGTGGCCTCATGTAAAGTATAATATTATTTAGTTCTTCGCCCCATCAGTCTATTTTTTCAACGGTTGGGAAGACTCATAGAGGCATTTTAGTCTTTCTCTAACCACCATCATGTAATTTACGAGCACCGAAAATCAAACTCATGACGTAATGTGTGAAATTCATTCCCAACTAATAGACCATCTGGTGATGGTTTAATATTATTTAGTTTCTATTTGTAATTATTGAGCACATCAATTTTGTTTTCTTGGATGACTTTGGCATTGTTTGGCTTTATTTAATTTAATAACCAAATTGTTGATGTGCCAACATAACTACATAACTGAAGGTTTGGGTCTAATAATATAAATTTGTACTTGCGTGATAAATTTGAATGTTTATTTTATAATATTTTAGGTATATTTAATTTTTTGTGTATATTTTCAACACTATATTCATGTCGTATCGTGTTTATGTTGTTTAAAAATTGAATATATTTTTGTTGTGTTGTATCCTGTTGTATCTTTGTGTCCTTGTCCATACAATGTATTAGCCTTAAATAAGAGAGGACTAGCTAGAGTGAAACTATGTGGGTTTTGAACTTTTTATTTTATACATGCAGAAATTTACTGTAAATCATTCATGATGGCTACTAGCTAGTACCGGTAATACTTTTCAACTTCAAGACTGGCAATTTTCTACGGTCGCCAAGAAAAATTGAATTAAAATTGTTGTTGGAAAGCCAAGTCCAATTTGGCTTCGATTAATAAATGTTAATCATTAAAGGGACATTTGATAAAGACGTTTTGTTTTCAATTTTCATTTTGTTTAATAAAATTAAAAATAAAAAACTCGTTTGATAGCTACCATTATTTATTTTTTCAGTATTGAAAATTAAATTAGTTACCAAACGAATTTTCAATTTTTGGCAGAAATAAAAAACTGAAATGTTATCAAACGAATCCTGTAAGTAAATTAAGTTGAAATTCTATTATAAATCAATTAGTAATATAAGAAGTAACCAAATTAACTGTGAATCTTTCCTGGTAGCTAGTACTGGTAATACTTTTCAACCTCAAGACTTCCGATTTTCTCCGGTCCAAGGCCAAGAAAAATGAATTAAAATTGTCGTTGGAAAGCCAAGTCCAATTTGGTTTAGACTAATTAAGATTAATTATCAAACTAAAAACAAAATATTAAAATTAGTTATCAAACAGGCACATGCAAAATCACTTCTTTATCTGATGTAAAATTCATATTCTCAACATGCTCTTTCATGTATGACGAATTTTCAAACCTTACAGGTGGACAATACAAATTGGGTAACATGAAGCAAGTGTAGTCATTGAGCTTCACATTTGAGACAACTTACTCTGATATCATGAAGACAGTTGAGATTTTACCATAACACTAACTGACAATAAGAAATAATACAATTACTTATGAACATATGCAACATTCTTCCGTTCCGTGCGTAAAATTCATACTCTCAAAACTAAAGACTACACGAAAGCAAAGACAATTCTGTTTGAATAGTCTGAATAGTCTAAGGTTGGGGGTTGACCATGTACCTTAATTAATTTGACTAATCAATACATGCTGAAGTTTGACATTAGAGTTACTTATGCTAGTGTCTCTTTTGGATAGCTCAGAACTCATGCATGATTTTTTTTTTTAATAAACGATGGTATTCATATACTAAAGAAGAAGAGGTAAACTTAACCTCACAATAGACTAGTCATTAAAAATGTACTAGAAGAGCGTTTCTGAAACTTAGGCTAAATTTGGGAAGCTTTTGAACATCATCTATCCAAAAATAAATTCTTAGATCTGCCACTGGTAGTAACTACCAATATTGTTAAATTGTCATGGAATGGCTTCAACCTGTACAAATACATCGCAGCATAACTTTTCCAGCAAGCATATAAAAGCCTTACACCAGACCCGTTTACAACCACCCCAAGCACTTTTCAGCCTCCAAAGGGAAGTAGTCTAAAATCATGGCCTTTCGTGTCAACATCTTCCTCAAGGAGCCTTTCCGGTCGAAACTCATTTGGGCTTTTCCAGACAGCGGGGTCACGTGCTATAGCCCAAACATTAACATGAACATTCGAACCCTTGGGGACGTCGTAGCCACCAATCTTAACACCGGTCTGGGCTCTCAGTCGTTGTCCACGTGAGCACCACGTCATCTATTAACAAAAGTTTCCACGGAAAGTTGAACGGATGTATGAAAGTGCTTCACAATTCTCAAACTAGGTATTACATTGGGATGATAAAAATTTCATATGTAAAAGCTTGAAAACCACAATACTACATGGTAGTAAAATGAGAATTACCCAAAACCAATATGTTGACATGATGCGAATGAAGTATATCATGCATTTGACTCATTCCCAATCTAACAAGACGTGGATTAGTCCAACTTATTAAGACTTTTTCCGTCCCTTTGCATCAATGTTAAAATGTAGATACTAGAGTGGTTTGAAATATATGTCGGATTAAAACATTACAGCCTACACTTTTCCGGCAAGCATAAATGCCTTGGAAGTAACTTTTCTGACCAAGTTAGGGCCACCCCAAGCTCTTTGAAGCTCTTCAATCACCTCTTGTGATAACAAATCCACACCTTGATCTTTAGCTGTAATGAATGCAGTCGAGGACCTGATCATCCTCATCACCCCTTCAAATGACATCTCCTTTGCCATTTCCAGTGGCACAGGCTGACCTGCAGAACCCAAACCAACACTTTCAAATGGAAATGGAAGTGTCCTATACCCTTCCCACAAGTACTCCGTCTTCGGGTCCCTAAACGGTTTGCTTGCTTCATGAAAATGCTTCAATAAATCGTCAAGTTCGGGGTCTGTTACGCTACCATTGTAGCCCCAAACTGCAATTACGCCTCCTGGCTTACGCAAAACGCGCTTGACGACTGAGTAGAACCTTGGGAGGTCGAACCAGTGCACAGCCTCTGCCACAGTCACCAAATCAACTGAGTTTTCACCCCCAATTAACTCAACCAAATCGTCTTCGGACATGGTCATCGGGGTGTGAACGTAACGAACTCGAGGATGTTGGAGTGCCAGCTTCAATTGGGACTCACTTATATCACTTCCTATTACTTGCTCATAATGCTCTCCAAGCTGCAAAAGTAAAAACACACACATCACAAAATTGAGTACTCTTATTTTGTACAGTACACCGTTGTATGTGATTCATCGGTGTTGGATTTGAGTGTCAAAATCTAGTCGTCTAATACAGCGGTGCATTGTGGAATTTTTGGAAATTAAGAGGAGTACTAACAGAGAAAGCAGCTTGGCCATTGCCAGTGCCGACATCCCAAGCTAAGGAGTGATTTGGTGTGAGAGCGGCCAGCATGGAAAACCATTCCTTGGGATAAGTTGGCCTTGCTACCGAGTAAAGCTCTGCCTGCTTGTCGAATAAACCTGCCATCTCTTTGACTTCTGTAATTTTTAGCCGTCAATAAAAGAGGACTACCTAATGAGGAAGAGTGAAATTACGTGGGTTTTAAACTTCTAATTTATACATGCAGAAGCTAGTACTGGTAACAATTTTCAACTTCAAGACTTCCAATTTTCTCCAACCCAGGCCAAGAAAAAATAATCAAAATGGTTGTTGGAAGCCAAATTCCAATTTGGTTCCCACTAATTAATCTTGATTATTAATAGGACTTTTGATAACTATTTTTATATTTTGTTTAAAAAACTACTAAGCCGAAAATTCGTTTGATAACTATTTTCAGTATACTGTTTTTTGTTTTTAATATTGAAAATTAGAACTAGTTAGTGTATGAGTTTTTAATTTTCAAAAGAAATGACAACTTAAATAATTATCAAATGAGGACCCTAAGTGAAAGAAGTTGAAATTCTACTATAAAACAAATTTAATAATACGTGAGTAACCCAATTAACCGTGCATCATTTCTAGTAGCTAGTACTGGTAATACTTTTCAACTGCAAGACTTCCATTTTCTCCGGTCCAAGGCCAAGAAAAAATGAATTAAAATTGTTGTTGGAAAGCCAAGTCCAATTTGGTTTCGACTAATTTATGTTAATTACTAAACGGGGCTCTAAGTGAAGGAAGTTGGGATTCATACTCAAGCTGCTTAACATATGACGAATTTTCAAGCTTCATATGTGGATAACACAAATCGGTTGATGTAGAGCACATATGGCTATTAGCTTCACACGCATGACAACACACCACTTTGATACTATTAAGGAAGTTGATGTTCCACTATAAAACCAATTGACAATATAAAGAATAAACTAATTACTCATAAACACATGCAATGTTCGTTCTTTCCTCGACTGTGACATTCATACTCCAATACTAAGTGATACTGGAAAGCAAAGACAATTCTCTTCTCTTTGAATAGTCTAAGGTAAGGGCTAGTGGCCATGTACCCTAATTAATTTGACTAATCAATACAAGTTTGACATTAGAGTTACTTATGCGAGTGTCTCTTCAGCACTCTCCCGATGTATCTCCGGATTATGTACGACCAGTTTCTAACTTCATAGTTTTGATTGCAGCTAGCTCAAAACTCAAGGATGATCGAAGATTCGTATCATGGTTGTAGCTAGCTCATGTGTTTCTTTTAATTGACCCATAATGTTATGTTTGGACGATGGACTTTAAAAAACCCAAGGCATTTTAGACCCGACTAGTAATAGAGCCCGCGCGTTGCTGCGGGTTTTAAAAGTTTATAAAACATGTATAAAGTTCTATTCCAATAGTACAAAATGATAGTAGGCAAGAGAAGCAAGGGGCTAGGTGTATAACAAAGCTTCAGTAATGCAGATTTAAATGAGAAAAGAAGTGAGAGATGTTAAAAGAAATAAGATAAAATTGGTAGAATGATGTCTACCATGCTTTGAAAACAATGAATAAATTAAATCATCGTCTTGACAATTATAAAGAAAACCAACTACGTGATTAACAAAAGTTAAGCCTAAAAAGAAACACAGGACATAGCGATCTATTATAAATTGCCATTTACATAAAAAAAAACAAATGTTAATTTATTCAAAATCAATCATGAAAAGAAAATATATATACGCAAAGGAGAAAATAGACAATAAGCACAAATAAAATTGGGAATTGTTATTAGCACTCCAAAAATCTCATTCTACACTCCTCATAAGTATATTTTTCTTTCTAATTATAGAAAGTTTGGAGTGCCAAATGAGATTTTTGGAATGCTAATCACAAGTCACAAATTGAAATTTTATGAGATTATCAATTCCCATAAAATTTTATGAGATTATCAATTCATATTGCAAATCACAGGTCACAAATTGAAACCAAATGATATCATCCAGGAATATAATTTTTTTTTAGATTATCAATTCATATTGCAAATCGCAGGTCACAAATTGAAACCAAATGATATCATCCAAGAAAACCTTTTGTATTCTGTCTTTATATTGATTGCCAACAAAATTGTCTTTTTTTTTTTTTTTTCTTTCTCAACCCTGTGCAGTTCAAAAGTAGAACCACCAAACCCTATAATGAAACAAAACATTGTTCATAGCAATTTCCAAAAATTTAATTAGATTTAACCAATACAGTCCTAAACCCATTTAATTTGAAAAATATAAAGAGAATTTTGAACATTACAAAATCAAATCAAATCATACAATCTCAAACATTTTATTCATACCTTTTTTTATTTTGTCTTTATACCGATCACCAACAGCCTGTATATATTTTTACAGTCTCAGAAGGTGATTTTTTTTTTTCAAAAACTTGCAATTATGGCCAAAAAAAAAAAAAAATTAATATCACAAAGATACAAAAAAAATTGCAGCCTTGAATATCAAGGGACTTTAAAAACGAATTCAAATGAACTAAATGGAAAAGAATAACAAAAAGGGAATTATTATTGGCACTCCAAATTTTTCATTCTACACTCTAAACTTTCTATATTTAGAAAGAAAAATACACTTGAAAATGAGTGTAGAATGAGATTTTTGAAGTGCCAATAACACTTTCCTAACAAAAATTCAAGTAAAAAAAGAATTTAAACATATTAGACCATGCACTGTTTGACTAAATCATCAACACTCTGAATACAAATAAAAGAATGTGCAAGTAGAGGTGTAGAGTAGAGGATCCCATAATTGTCCCAATGTTATTTTCATGAGCAGTTCACGAAGACATGTGAGGACAATAATTACCCTATCAATGATGGAAACAATTATAATAAAAAAGGAAAATTAAATCATGTTTTTGCTTTTTTGCAAAATTCACCTATTTTTTGCATATGGGCACTTTCATATCGACGCATTCACATGCTGTTTTTCAACGAGAAAGAAACTAACAAAAGCATCTTTATGTTCTTCTGATATTTCTGGTCACCTAAAGTGGTAGCTTCTTTGTCCTCTTCCCCATATCCATCCAAACAATTTTTAAGCAGGATTATCAATAAATTAACCAAAAGAATGTATGATAAGATAGCAAAGTCTTAAAGCATCAACCAATTCAATGGTTGTTAACAACCCATTTAAACTAGAATGCAGATTGTCTGCCATCCTGATATGGTACTCTTTTCATGCCTTTCTATTTGTGCGATCACGGTTAAACCACGTCAACATTTTATACTCCTATTTTTTTTGTCTTATTATCTCTATAAAAAAAAAATAATATAAAATATTAACGTAGCTTAACCTTGATCGTACAAAATAAAAGAGTTTTGGGAGGTCACCATATCAGGAGGCAGACAATCCGGCTCCTTTAAACCGAACCCCACAAAATTAAAACTTTCTAACATTTAAAATTGAACAAAATAGAATCAATACACTATAACAAAAACTGTATGCATAAACATGCCAAATAGAAGCCCTGGTTTGAAAAGAAAATATCACGTGACTTCAAAAAAACCATAAGTACCTAGCACAATAGAATCCACCGCCGTCGCCTTCTTTCCAATTGCAGATCTCGCCGTTTCGACACTCTTCTACACAGAGCTCTCTCTCTCTCTCTCTCTCCCCCCTCCCACTTTCTCCCCCTCCTCTGGTTAGATCATTTCATCGTCAAGAAGCTTTTGTTAGAAATTTGTCAAGACCCACAACACAACCTAACTAAAAAACTCACGGATTAAAGTTTCTCCCCAAAAAATCCCATCTCTGTCATCAAACGAAAACTCCGTAAGCAACAACCCATTTAAAATTGAACAGAACAAAATCCATACAATTGCATAAAAAAATTGTAGATGCATAAATAGAAGAACTCACCACAAAACTGTCCACTTTGAGACCAACAGAGGCGAAGAGAGAAGAGAGAAGAGAGAGCAGACGGCTACGAGGCACCCAAAGAAATCGAAAGCTGAAAGGGTCAACGCCCAAGCAGCGACATCGATGGGAAAGAGAGGAAATTTTTACAAACCGACTGATCGGCGCAAGGGGAGAGAGATGAAATCAGAAAGGGAGAAAAATTAGGGTTGGAACAGCGACATCAGTAAAGAAAAAAGGAAACATCACGAAAGCACCTAAAGAAATCGAAACCGGAGAGGATGAATGCGTGGCATCGGAGGGCAAGGAAGTCATTTAACTGTACAAAAGAATGCAAAAAATTGGCTTAACAAACGAATTGAGGGGTATTTTGGTCAGCGCAGCCTTAGAACAATAACCAGAAGTTTAGGTTTTAGTATATGTAGAATTTTTGAAAATGCAGAGCATTTCTGGAACTTAAGCTAAATTTGGGAAGCTTTTGAACATCGCCGATAAAAATAAATTCTTAGATCCGCCACTGGTAGTGACTAAAAATATTGTTAAATTGTTATTTAGTGGCTTGAAACTGTCACAAATACATCAGGCCAATTTAGAACCAACCTAAAGCACTTTAGCTACCTTTTCAGCTAACAAATCTACACCTTATTCATTGGTTGTAGTGACTGCAAATCATAACCTCAACATCTTCTAAAACATATCAAACAACTTGTTAGATCCCACATCGCCTAGGGGAGAGGATCATCTATGCCTTATATGTACATGCCCACCTCCTATAGCACAAGGCCTTTTGAGAGCTCATTGGCTTCGGGTTCCGTAGGAACTCCGAAGTTAAGCGAGTTTTCGCGAGAGCAATCCTATGATGGGCACATCCCGGGCTCGACTCCACTGTAGCATGATATTGTCTGCTTTGGGCCCTGACCACACCCTCACGGTTTTGTTTCTAGGAACTCACACGAGAACTTCCCAGTGGGTCACCCATCATGGGATTGCTCTCGCATGAACTCGCTTAACTTTGGAGTTCCTACGAAACTCAAAGCCAGCGAGCTCCCAAAAGGCCTCGTGCTAGGTTAAGATGGGAATATACATATAAGGCTTACATGATCCACTTCCCTAGGCGATGTGGGATGTTACAATCCGCCCCCTTTAGGGGCTCGACGTCCTCGTCAGCACACTTCCGGGTAGGGATTGGCTCTGATACCAAATTGTCACATCCCGGCCTGGGCCCCTACCATATCCCGGGCTCGACTCCACCGTAGCACGAAGCCACAAAGTGTAGTCTAGTGGAAGAAAAATATGAATAAATTTAAACCTAAAAGTGCCTAATCAAAAGAGTACGCGGGTGAGCGGGATTGAACCCTTTTCACACATGATCTTAGAGTACAAGACAATATAGTAAATAGGATGATGGTTATACCACTGAAGATAACCATCTCCTGAGATTTGCCAGAACCCTCGTTTATACGTAAGCACAGCTACTAAACCTGGAGGGGCAAAAAACAAAGTTGAGTGGGCCAGCAAAACAACGTTTTGTAAAAACCTTTATTTTTTAATATACTAGCCCCTTGCCGTAAAACAAGTATAGTTTCTTTAAAACATACTACGTAAGTATGTAAACAACAATAACAACAATATAACCAGGAAATATGCCAAGTCATGAGATATCAAATGCCATAGTATATAATCATGTGATAATCAAGTATAACTAAGTGCTCATCCATCTAAGTTGACACACAAGTTCAAACCGATAATCTCTTACATAAACAAGACTGGGTGTAATCAATACCCTCTAGTACTACGATCATGTAAAGGCTGGTGCAGAAGCACGATCACATACAAGTCGGATTGCCTAATGCAATATACCCGACATGATAGGCACCTAACTTGGATCCAAGACGAACGAATGGTGCAGATGTGAACATACACTTGATGGACTGGCCCTGGCCCTAGGACGAGTACTAACACGGGGGTGCATCAAATGAGCATGTATGTCATGACAATGATATCCCAACCATATAGCAGCATTTCTCACAATTTATATCACAATAACGAATACTTGGCAATTATAAGTGTAAAAATGAAGTAAATACGCATTTATTGAAACTATAACTATGTATAGGTATAAAAACAAATTGCCCACTCACCTGGAGTCGCGCTACAACTCCCTAGCACGAATATCAAGGTGTCACGAACGATCATCGCCTAGAACAATTATCAAATCACGTCTCAAAATTCTTATTAATAGAACATGCAACTCATATAAAACACATCCTTGAGGACGTTCTAGAATGAATTGAAACCCATTGACGAAAAGTAAATTGTCGGTCAAAGGTCGACGGTAGAGTCCACAACCCTACATAACTTGATTCGGAAGATCCGTACCTCGGATTTTCGATCCGTAACTTCCACATATCTAAATTAAGCTTCTAGAACAACATCCTAAAGTTTCGGAACGATCCAACGGTCGAAATGTCAATTCATGCAAGGACTTCATGAAGGCCAACTAGGTGGTCAACTACGAAACTACATTAAAACATCGTAATTTCACTAAATGAATGTCAAATATAGAATTGGAGCATCCAAATTAGCCTAAGATGGTGAGGTGGGTTCTTGGCCCATGCGCCGCCACATGTGGTGGCTGGCCGCCATTGTTCGTCGGAAAATACCATTATTTCTAAAAAATTTCAAATTTCATAGAAATGAAGATCTCAAAGAGAGGAACAACTTTCATATCTGCCACGAAGTTTAATAGTGGACGGAAGATGGTCAATTTTTCCCACAAAGCCGGTGGGTGCCTAAAGCTTCCCGACGTCGATTCGTCGTCTACAGTGGTCCAACGAGGTCAAGGTTGGTTAGGATTTACTCCAGGGATGATGGGCTACAAAGATCAAGTGGTGGTATCGGCCATCACTTTGCCGATTCGTCGGAAAATTGAAAAGAGTGGGCGGAGCACTGTTGATCTTCGTCGACTTTCGTGGCCTCAAACCGCCACATACCGTGGTTAATCAAGGTGGTTCTTGGTGGGTTTTGTAGAAGGGAATGAGAGCTTCAAGATGATGGTGGTGGTGTCAAAAAATTCCACCAGAGTTGGCCAGATCGGCCTTGGAAAATAGGAGGTCGAACTAGGTTGCACGGGTTGAAAGGGAGGGGGATGAGGTTCTTCTCTCTCGTTCCTGATTGGCTGATTGGTCACTTGTCTTTGTAGTTGATTAGTCCCCCCTTATTCGTGCCTAAAATCTGATTGGGCTTCTTTCTCACAAGATGGAAGTTCAATTTAATGATAACTAAACTTTGAATAACCAATTTCAAATGTCCGTAACTATATCGTTATAATTTGGACCCACAAATGGTTTTCGCTTATGGGTTTGTAGTGACAAGTACTACGAGGATACGCTAAAAGAATAAGTCCTACATTCCACTAGACAATTGTCAACGGAAGTCAAAGTCCATGTTTCTAGGGTATTTTCATAAATTCACGCTTTTAAGATTAATAAAAACATAAAATTAGGGACGGGTTGTCACACAACTTCTTCGGAATGTCCAATTGCAACGGATTTCCCTCGCATCTGAACCAACACTTTGAAAAGGAAATAGAAGTGTCTTATGACTATCAAACACGTAAAGGATTTTTATTGTCTCAATAGGGAAGGGTTGTGAAAAGGAGTTGCTTCGTAATCGGATCAAGTGCTAGAACAATAACAATACGAACGATAATAAAAATTACATATTCGCGGCCACTCGCTTATACAAGTGTGAAGGGAGCCTCGGCGTAGGCACGACTTGTACTGGGGTTGCCATGTAAGTGACCATCCCTGGATTTTCTGACAAGTCAATCTCCTCTGGTTTCACCCCTTCGGGCGGAGCCCAACTGAAATGGTGCAACAGATGGCCCAACATGGAGGTAACCAAGTTGATACCAAGTTGAGCTCCAGGACACACTCGCCTGCCTGCTCCAAATGGAAGTAGTCTAAAATCATGGCCTTTCATGTCAACATCTTCCTCTAAGAACCTTTCCGGTCGAAACTCATTTGGGTTTTTCCAGACAGCGGGGTCACGCGCTATAGCCCAAACATTAACATGAACATTCGAACCCTTGGGGATGTCGTACCCACCAATCTTGACATTGGCATTGGCATGGTGGGGGAGCATTAGTGGTGTTGGAGGGTGCAACCGCAGTGCTTCCTTTGCTACGCATTGTAGGTAAGGGAGGTTTGAGAAATCATTTTCTGTCATGACCCGTTTGTGCCCAATAACCCGATCTAGCTCCTCCTGAGCCTTTTGTTGCACCCTCGGGTTCTTAATCAGCTCAGCCATAGCCCATTCAACTGAAATTGCTGTGGTGTCTGTACCGGCAGTCATCATATCCTGAGCAAATCCCTTCATTAGTCTCAAATGTAAGAAAAGAATGCGCCATGACTATCTCAGAGTGATAACAATAGTTCCGTTAACTAATCAAAAGGAAGATGAAAGCATAAAAACAAGCGAACAAATGCAAAACATACAAACGAGAGAAACAGTAATCACCACTTTTTAGCAACGAAGTAGGAAATTAAGAACATATTAATGTGTACTTACCCAAAGAAGTCCAATAATAGTGTCCATACTTAAGTCATACTTGTCCTTCAAGGTAAACAGTGCATCCACAAAGTGGCTCTTGGCAACGCCGCCCTTGGAGCGTGCCAGAGCGTGTTCGTCCATGATTTCCTTGGTGAGTTTGTCTCTGTTTGCTCCGTGTCGAGCAAACGCCTCTTCGTCAAACGGGCATGCCCAACGCAACCAAGAAATGTGCTCAGCCACCGAGAGCGATCCGCCTATCTTCACTCCGTTGGCAATAAGAGCTCTGAATCTTTTCCCTTGCTCATCAGTTATTTCATCAGAGCTGATGAAACGTTTCCCAAATGCTAGCCTTGTTATGTTGTTGAAAGCCACGTTTCCCAAATACTTCTTCACTGCCAAACTTTTCCCATGGTTTTCTGTAACATGGTGAATAAATTGTTAACAACAGTCGGTTAATTGGTACAAGGACGAGTTTTGCAATGCATTTACCAAACATGTTTTTTTATTTTTTATTTAATTAGTACGAGAAGATGATGTCCCGAATAACGTCGGAAGGGTCCTCAAATCAAACAAGACAAGTACTAACTGACAGGCCAAGATTTGCCATACAATGATCAATATTACCATTCCATTACTACCAATCTTTCAAAGTTGCAGGAGATTTTTCAATGGTC